GATGCTAAATAAGTGCCTCTTAGTAAGGCTCAGAAGGTAGGATTGATGAACCATCCATCAAATCTGCTTAGGCTGTGGCTGATGAACCATCCTAATATTTTAGAACATCTATCAAACCATTTCGCAAATCATTAAACAAAAGTGTCTTTGATTTAGCTATAGTTAGAAATAATCAGCTTGATGGAATATTGTGCGTCAAAAAAAAATTGATAAGGATGAACTTTCTATGTCTGAGACCTCTAAAAGATCTTTTTCTTTAAAAAAGGGTAGCGACAAGAAGAAATTTTATGTCAAATGCCTTAGTTCACAAGGTCATCAACTTAGGATTTCTACAATTGTGATAATTCTGATTAGGATGGAGGTATCTTTTATGACTGAAGAAGGACCAACTTCTTTAATGTTTATATTGATTTCTTATTTCTACTTACATGGTTATTGGAGTTTGATGATGACAGATAGATTTCAAGACTTTCTGAACTTCTACAATCGAGTCAGCAACTGACTTCACAAGGATATCTTCCCTCTGCTACTCTAATAAGGACCCTCAAATCGTTACAAATTCTAAGAGTTGTAAAGTCGTATAACTACTTAGTACTTTCTAAGTGTTATTTGTTTAAGATAAACTTTATTGTTATCTAGAAAGAAAAGCAGAAATACATAATTTAAATAATCTAGATAGATAACACATAGCTGTCATTACAGGAGTAGCCGAACTATACTTAATGAGGACATTGTCAGAGATTTTGACACGTGTATCATCGGAGACACTGGAGATCGACGGCTATGATCAGGAGCTTATATTTTTTGAGTCATTTATGTAGTAGTTTATTTTATTTTCAGTTTTTACTATTTTACCCTTATGGGTGGTCATTTGATGTTATAGTCCCGAGAGCAATTTAATCTTTGTTTATTTTCTTTTTGGTGAGACATGCATATATATAGGTCATTTCTATTGTATTTGGGATGATGATTAAGATGAAATTTCAGCTTCTTATTTTGGATCTCTTTGTGAGTTCTAGATAGAGTGGTGAAGCCTAGGAGAGGCTCAAAGAAATACCCAACAGCCCCCTTTGTGGGAGCTCTTGGTTCCTATCATTTCCTTCCACTTCTTCCCTTCTCCCCTAGCCGCCGGCTTCCCCAGACTGACCACCACCTGACTGGCCAGCAACCACCCCCTTTCCCTTTCCGTTAGCCACTGGATTCTGCCCCTTCCTCACCCGTCCCTCCCTTAATCCCACCTCCTCCACTGAAATCAGCCCAACCCGATCCCCCTTGGATCCCCACCTGCCGACCCCCCATTAATCCTAGCATTACAATTTGAAATTCAAATTCAAAGAGCTGTTATTACTTTTCTCATTTGTTTTTTTGTTATTTGGGAAGTTTCTAAATGGAATTTAATGTGAAATTTGAATTTCAAATCTCTTTCTAAAAACGCTTGCACCCAATTAGGAAACTACTCAATGCTAATCAAATCTGAATTTAAATTCAGAATTTGATTTAATTAAGTATGCAATCAATTGGGCCCCACATACATTAAACCTAGACATATTCCCTCAAACCTATGACCGACCCCCTCTCTCTCCCCTTTCTCTTTCCTCTTTGCCACCTAAGCAAGATTTAATTCCCCTAAATTCCCCTAATGACCGCCGTTCCCATTACTCCCTTAATTGGGTTGATTTGAATTTCAAATTGGCCCTTTCCCTTTAATTAAAAATCTAAAATTAAACTTCAGATTTTCCCTCTCATCTTCTTTCCCCCCAAATCACTTGGTTTAACCAAAAGAAACCCTAACCCTAGCCGCCCCTGACCTTCCCAAGTCATCTCCCATCATCCTGTCCCTTTCTCCTCACCAATCTCAAGAGTGCTCTTCCCCAACCGTCGCCACCACTATGCATGACCGATCCGGAAGTCGACCATGGTTTCTTATTTGATGATCAAGGACGAACCAACATCCTTGAATCTCCTTTCTTTGATGTGAACCTAGATGTAGATTCTTCCGTGTATGATTACTTACATCGCATCCTGTTTACACTAGTACCTTCCATCGAGGAGCTGATTCTTCTCGGACGTTAGATGCTCACTAGTCATCCCGTGGATTCCCCATCGCCGGCTACTTTTCCAACGGACTAGACTTTGGGCACCATTTGTCTCTTAGTGGCATTGCTCGGTTTTCTCTCAATCTTCCTCCGTTAAAGCCCCACCGTCAAGAGCGTGCGTGAGGGACCCAAGGTGAAGAGTTCTATTTGTTAACCGTGGATTATTGTTTTTGCCATAACATTACTCTCTCTATTTTTATGTTGTTAACTTGATAGCATCATGTTAATCTAGTTGTAACTACATGCTTTGCATAGTCTCTAATTGATAATTCCGAATATCAAACTTGGGTAAGCACTAAATCTATAACTAGCAAAGTTTTAATACTCTTCTATTAAAATCCCAAAGCAATTCTTGTTCCTTTGCATGTTTTTACATCATATTTGGTATCAGAGCATGGTAGGCATGCATGTCATGTACTAGAAATCAAGTAGAAAACTAGAGAAATCTAGGAAGTTTTTTAAACTTATAACAAATTTGTAACAAACTACATTAAATAGACTAAGAAATGATTTAAGCTAAACTGCTCTGCCTATCAGTAAGTATTTAATCAACCACATGTGTAAGAAATTACTTATTACTATTGCTTCTAATGCTAAATATCTAAATCTCACTTCTTTACAAAAAGTACAGCTACATGCAAAACTAGATTTAACAGCAAAAAAACTTAGTCAGATGATCGATCAGTAATTAATTGTGAATCTCAAATTGTCTGCAAAACTGAAAATATGCACATAAAGAAAAAAATTATTCGCATTTAATAAGAAGCTATACCTCAAAACTATAATGATCTATCTTATTAATCAAGCTACAATTTAAAAGTATCGGAAAACATAAGCAGCTAGGATAGCTTCTACTTGAAATATTTTACAAAATAACTTTATCAAAACTATTTCATCTAAAGACTTAACCTATTTATTTGTAGGCTTTTAAGATATAACGTACTCATCAACAAGTTAATTAAGAACCACTTTCATAATTAACACAATGTAACTAAATATTAAATATCTATCATTTTTAAAAAGTATGATAGAAAGCATCTTTGCTTTGCTGTATTTTCTTTTATAATTACAATTTTTATGAAAAATATGATAATTAATGATGTGACTAAATTTTAATCATAATTTTTTGTAAAATTATGATTGAATTGTCATCATTAGTTACAAACACCTTTTGTCACATCATCGATAATCCTCTAATGAAAAAAATTGATTAAAATTTTATAAAAGAGTGAAGAAAATGCACTTTTAATTGCTTGTATGTATATAAGTGATCTTTCAAGCCATTTAAGAAAATGATTACAGCTTGAAATATTTGTAGTGCATAAAATGAAATTTAGATTTATTTAAAATTTAAACAATAGACGAATAAAAGAGGCATACCAGAAGAAAAAATCAGTTGAAAATTAGATCGTTATAAAATGTCAAATTCAAACTGTACAAATGAAGATGTAAAGGCAGAGTAGCAGAAGATTTCAATAATGTCAATACATGAAAGCAGGCAATTGATAGATCACAAATCAGCCTTTTTCAGTTATCTTAATGTATTGTTCGTCAATAAGACCACAAAAATATCCTTAGGTTTTATTTGCTTTTATTTTGACTCAAAACGGAAGTGATTTGCATCAATCTATCACAAGGACTGGCGTTGATCCCAATGAACCTCGGTACTGCCATATTGTTGGCCTAGATAAAATAGAAAATCTGGCAGAAAGAATTTAAGTCCCAACAGCCATCAACTTGCCTTTGGCTAAAATGACCTCATAGCGTATAACGGGAAAAGAACACCATTTTCAAATTAAATAATTTAACGAGCAAAATAAAAAAGTCCACGATATTGCTATAAATTTATACTATAATCAGCATTAATTATTAGAAGTTTGATTAAGGCTTCATTTGGGGCGGCTTTCTTATTCCTTTTTAAATCAGTTTTTTAGTTATTATTTCTTTAAAGCAGTAAAAAACGCCCTAAACGGGGAATAAATGTTAATCTATTCACGCTTTTCATTAAGATAATGACTAATAAATACAGTTCTAGCAATGCCTTTTGATCTCATGGTCATTATTTTAAGTAATATTAATTAGCTGAATAGAAAACTAACCACATGTTTTTATAAATATGTGGTAAAAAGCTACACTAAACCACAGTATTTTAATCACATAGTCAATAATTAAACTATTAAACAAGTGCAACAAAAAAATGATTACAGACTAATATTTTTTAAAAAAAGAAGATTGATGACATGACTTTAAATCACAATAATAAAAAAAAAATTATAAACCAAAAGTCTTTCAGTGATATATTAAAATTCCATTTGTGTATAAGTTTATTAATGAAATCAAGGAGTGGATAAATATTAAGTTATACATGCATTGTCTTGCTAGATTTACCTATCTAAAATTATCTTAATAAGTACCTTCTAAAATTAATTGAAAAAAATCTCTTGTGCTAGAATGAAAACAACCTGTAGTATAGAAGTTTAGCTCCAACTACTCTCATCAAACATTATTTTTTTCATCATTGTATACTTTGTTCAGCGACACAATAAATCATAGGGAAAGCAGTAAGCTAGCTAGATGAGGGTCTAGAGATAAGATACACTATTATCAATCACACCTGTTCTTATTTCCTTCCCCTCGCACTATACAATCCATCCAATCACTACCTGTTTCAATAAATTAACCAATCTCATTATTTTTCTTCTGTAGACTATCATTTGGCATTGTTCAAGAGACAATTATTAAGTTTATTTTGCAACTTGCATGAAAATTTTATGTAAAAAGTAGGCAATCACATCCTCGATCCTAACCCTATAGTTTTACCAAGTTCGAATGAAAGAACCCTTATATGAAAGTATGTGAGCCTCAATAAGATTAATAAGAGCTGCTTCGCAATAGAAGGGAGGATTGATAATCAAAATTTAGGAAAGTTTTTATTTATAGAGAATCTAAACACTAAAGAAAGTTAAAAGGCGATAATTAACTGTGTAAAAACGAAAAACAGTAATGCTACACTAACTTCCACCTATAGCCCAAAAAAACCTCTTCGTGTGTTTGGGGGATAGTGTAGCATTACTCATACAAAAACAAGCAACTGAATCACAAGAAACATGAAATAAAACCCAAGCATAATAATATTAACGAAGACGAAATAATTTAGAAGGAAATGACTCGTGAGCTAAGAAAGACTTAGTAGTTTGTTGGCGGCCGAGGAGCCCAAGCGCCGAAGACATCGTGCGGAAGCTGACCGTTGGGCATCAGATTAGGCGGCACATTATACAGCGGCGGCATCGTTGGGAACTGCTCCCCGCCCTCTGCGTTCTGCTGCATCGCGGCAGCCCCTACACCCGCGTCAAACCCCAGTGGCTCATCCGTCGCCGGCGGCTCTTCCTCTTCAAGCGGAAGCCTTTCATAGGTCGCGTTTGAGAAAGTGGCCGCAATAACAATCACCGGTCCCGACGCGACGAGCTCACCCAGTACGGTGCCACCTACCACTTGACCCTGCCCGCCGGCGAGATAAATGGTTAGTCCAGTTGCTCCAGGCGGCGAAGGAGCGGGAAGGAAAGCGCCGGAGAGGGAGAGGATTTCGAAGCGTCCGTGAAGGGAAACCACGGCACCCGGCGGGGCGGCTGGCTGGCGGAGGGTGACGTTGGCTACGATGCCGCTGCCGCTGAGTATAGCGACCCCGCGCTGGCGACGGCGGGCAAAGGTCGTGACCGCGTCCATGATGTCGGTACCGGTGGAGATCTCGAGCACGTGGGAGCGGAGGGCGTTGGGGCTGTCGCGGGTGATGATGATGGGTGGTTTAGGTTTGTTTTTTGAGCCAGATGGGCGGCCGCGGGGGCGGCGGCGGTCGACTGTGGTGCTTCCGGGGGTTGTATCTCCGCCTGCGGTATCAGCGCCGGCGGATTGGTCTTCGGCGCTGGCAGAATCGTTATTGTTTGTGTTGCTTCCGCTGCTGTTAGTGGCGCCTGGGTTGGGGTCGAGGAGGTGGGGGTGATCGTCGGAGAGGGGGTTACGGAGATGGAGGGAAGGGATGGAGGGGGCGGCGGCGGGGGAAGAGGAGGAGACCGAGCGGTCCACTCCTCCCAACCCCGCGCTCCCGGCCCACCATCGGTTCGCCAGCTTCAATCTCTCACCCGCAAGCTAAAATATTAAGATCTCTGCAGGCTCGCTCTACCTTCCTCTTCTTAATCAGATCTGACGAATGGAAAACTTAACAGGTCAAAGGGCGAAACCGCGGGGAAACAGATCGGCATGAGAAGAAACGCTCTGTTTCTCTTTCTCTGAGTGAATTGTACTTGTTGGTGATGGTGAGGTCAGGGAACTGAAGCGTTTAGGCGAGAGAGAGATAGGAATCTGACTCTCAAGGAAAGTAGGGAACAGAACAAGTACATGCCAAGGATGGTGCCTAGTCGTCTGAGAGGTCTGGCACTTGCTGCGGCGCACCACTGCAACTTTATCCTGCTTTGTGGGTGGGGCGGTGTGGGGGAGAGAAAAGGGGGCAATAGTTTACCTCTTTCTCTCTCATGGGTTCCGGCTTTCAAATCTTTCTTAGGCAACGGGAATTGGGTATACTTCCGATATGCCCGTTCTTGTGCTATCAGGGACTCTTATCTCTTCGGATGACGACTCCTTTCTCGCATCTAAGCTCCGCCATCGTGTCTGGATCTACACAAAAATATAAAAAAAACAAAGGAGAGAGAGAGAGAGAGAGCGAGAGAGTTTGGGATAACGTGCGCACGAGAAGGTGGGTAGTGGGAACACGTCGCTGTCGCGAGTCCCAACACAGTATCGAGTTAGTAAGAGAGGAAATGGAATCAAGAGGAGAGAGAAATGGGTCTTGCCGTCCGGTCTTCAATGGCCTGCCAGTACTTGCCACTCCATTTCCTCATTTATTAAACTGTACAAAACTTCGGTTAACCTAATCTTTAGCCTTTCTTTTGACTGCAAAGCCTAACTATATTTAAACATCCTCCATAGAACAACTAAAATGTAACACATCAACTCCTGTTTGACATCTGGCTCGATACTATTCGGTACCGTTCGGTGCTGTTCGATACAACTGATGTGGCGTATTTTTGTTGGTCTCCGAATGATGAACTGTGTTCAGCATCCCCACATAATTTTGGGTGATGATTAGGCTATTTCAACTCCTAATTAAGCCTAATTAATTTTTTTTGTATTTTCCTCTCCTTATTTTCTTCTTACTTTCACATCAATACAAAGTAGCTTTCAGCATACTATTGTCTTTCATAAATTTAAGCTGGGAAATTTTTTGATAAAAATATTGTGACATAATTTTGAGGAGGATAGCCCTAATAATAATTATATTTAAATAAAAATAATTACAATAACATTTTAAATATTGATCATATATTACATTTCTTTTAAATAAAATTTAATAATTATTAACATAAATAAATTTGGGCCGGAATATTCTTATCCAAATTTTCTTTTTCTTTAGACATTAAATGGTTCCACCAACAATTAGATCACACCTGGCGCCATCTTGAGTCTCGTGGGCAGAGCTCAAATGATATTTTATGCAGTTTATCTTGATTTGATTTTATATGAAATTATTTAATATTTATACAATAGGGAATCATTATCTAAGCTGACCAAATAATTTGTTTTGGAAATATCTGCATTTAAGATAATAGCCTAGCTAACATGTAATTTTCTTTTTGCTTAGGAGCAAATTTAAGTATAAATATTAAACTTAATATTTTTTATTTCTACAGAAGCCAAGGCTACAGACAACAAAGCTTTATGCCAACTAACTCTGCAATCAAGTTGGCATTTCATATGAGACAGAACTTGCGTAAGAACTGTAACTTAATTTCAATATCATCTAAAATAAATCATAATTTTAGAGAAATAAAATTTATGTTAAAAGATGGTGTAAAAATGATACAGTCCATTTATATTGAAAAAAAAAAGAATTTAGATTTTAATAACATTAGAAAAATAGCATTAACTTGTGTTTATTATACAATAAAAAAATCTTCTGAAGTCATAAAAGATATTGTTGAATTTATATTTGTTCTTGGAGAGAGAGAGAGAGAGAGAGAGGCAAGATTACCCCTTAGTAGAGAGGTGAGTGAAGCTGATCTAAGAGTCAAATTTTGAAGAGTGGATCTCAAAGATATATTACTTGGATGGAGTTTTGTCAAAAAATATAGAATTGTATGGTGCCCTTGCTCAACTAGTGAATCCCTATTTATGGATAATGATCAAGGTTGTTGAACAAGATGGACTACATTTAAAATTATAAGAACATACTTAATATAGCTAGTTGTAAGTTTGATTGTTAACTATACCTTAAGCCATGGAATATAGTGAGTTCTAAATTATGAAAAAGTGTAATTAATTATGAGTTCCTCTACTAAGAACTCCTAATTAGCTGGTAATAACTCTGGATGAGTAACCTTGTTCCTTTGTTGAGTTTATGTGACTTAATAAGTTTCAATGGTTAGTCTAGTATATGAGTACTAAGGACAAAGTAAGTATTATCTCCTAGGTGACTTTTGAGATTCAATTATGTCACTATAGGAAAATCAGCTATTACCAGCGGTTCAGTCGCCAAAAAACTCGATACCAGACGGCTTTCAAAAGCCGCCAGAATTTCACGGTTTACCGACGCTAGGCGGTGGTTATCCGACGAGACGCCAGCGGTTTAGCCGCCGGTACTTCATGCGGTTCTGACAGCCGGTAAGCAGCCAGTAATTAACTAGTAGTCGCCGGCGGTTTAGCTGACGATTTTACCTGTGATTTTGACAGCTGGTACGCCGTTGGTAACTAATCGGCAGTCAACGACGTTACTACAGCTGGACATACCGGCTGCCAGGCCGCTGGAAAGCCGCCGGAAAAAGGCCGCCAGAAATAGTTACCTACGCCATTTTTTCCGGTGATATTTGTACCGCTAAAAAGCCGCCGGTGTTTTACAAAACAGCCGGAAATAAATCGTTAACCGCCGGTAATAACCGTCAGTAATAGCTGAATTTCTTGTAGTGTGTGTAGTTTGAGGTTTTGAACAATTTATAGTCGAGTAATTATGGAGCTAGTTTATGATCATGAACTTATATAACCTAATTTAGACGTTTATGATGACTTGATTGATTTGAATCAAAGAAATATGGTCTATATTAATTTCTTGATCATCATATCTTAGTTAATGAACTGGGAAAAGAATATGAGAATAAATTTGATGAACCTAATTCATATAAGGTAGCTTGTCCATGATGTGTACACTGCATGCAAAATGATGATTGTTGGGCAATGGTGGTATATATGACAACAGTACTAATATTTTGGCATTACTTTCTTCAACTCCAACTCATTTAGCTCGAAGCTCTCATTTTAGGTCCTTTTTAGTAAAAAGTGAGGGTTTATTTTTTATTTATTTGAGTTATATTTTGTAAATTCATTCAAAATCTCCAAACACTTTATCAAATGATATTTATTGATTCCCTTATTCATAGATTGCTCCTTAGGCATTTAATAACTTAATAATATATTAAACAATTGAATAATCTTAAGTTTGTTGTATTTCTCTCATTAAGACATCCATTTTGAATATAAGTGCATAAGATTTATAGATCATTTGGTCCCTCAGAAAGAGTCATAAAGTTCTCAACCATACTTATAGGCTTGATTTTTGCTCATTTGGACTTGAATCAAAGCACTTATAGGATCATTGGATTTTTCTTATTATAACATTTGTTTATCTATAAGTTTGTTGAAATCAAACTACATGCTCTTGAGCTAAATTTTGAAAATTTCAATTCAACTATTTCATTAAGATCCATATTTGATCGAATAAATTTTATTGTAATGCATCATGTAGTAAACTCAACATGAATATATTACAATAAATTATTTTCATTTATTTTAAATTAAAATCTGCTATATATATTAGTCATTTAAAATTTGATACATAGCCATATCAAATATTACTGTTGTCATTCATAAACTAGTTAATTCCTTGTCTTTTGTAAAAAAACATATTATGCCATAAGTTTCTTAATGCCACACCCAATTAATTACAAGGATAACTATACTATTTTTCTAAGAATTTTTTTAGTTGTGATAACATTTTTTGATTTATTATAAAAACTCATCACTTTGTTAAATATCTTGAAAAGCATCATATCAAGATTATACCATATTATATTTATTTTTTTAATATGGTAAATATTAAAAAAAATATTTTTTTTCCTAGTTTAATAATGGTCTTTCCCAAATCAAGAGATCCTTTGTTTGCATTCTTTTTCCAAACATAATATGACTTAAATTAGATAATCTTGCATACATATCTTCATGGGATAAAGGTGTTTTGTCCCTAGGTTAATGTTTTTTCTATGGTGTTTTGGCAAGTGTATGCTGGTTCATTGGGCTCTAAGTTTGGGTTGTTCTGAGCTATTGATTTTTTTTTTTTTTTGCTTATTGGGTGTTGGATAATAGACTATTTTCTATTTTATGTTGCATTTGACTCCAAGAAATATGGTCTATATTAATTTCTTGATCATCATATCTTAGTTAATGAACTGAGAAAAGAATATGAGAATAAATTTGATGAACCTAATTCATATAAGGTAGCTTGTCCATGATGTGTACATTGCATGCAAAATGATGATTGCTGGGCAATGGTGGTATATATGACAACAGTACTAATATTTTGGCATAACTTTTTTCAACTCCAACTCATTTAGCTCGAACCTCTCATTTTAGGTCCTTTTTAGTAAAAAGTGAGGGTTTATTTTTAATTTATTTGAGTTATATTTTATAAATTCATTCAAAATCTCCAAATACTTTATCAAATGATATTTATTGATTCCCTTATTCATAGATTGCTCCTTAGGCATTTAATAACTTAATAATAATACAATTGATTAATCTTAGGTTTGTTGTATTTCTCTCATTAAGACATCCATTTTGAATATAAGGGTAAAAGATTTATAGATCATTTGGTCCCTCAAAAAGAGTCATAAAGTTTTCAACCATACTTATAGGCTTGATTTTAGCTCATTTGGGTTTGAATCAAAGCACTTTTAGGATCATTCGATTTTTCTCATTAAAACATTTGTTTATCTATAAGTTTGTTGAAATGAAACTACATGCTCTTAAAAAATAAAAAAAAAATGAAACTACATGCTCTTGAGCTAAATTTTGAAAATTTCAATTCAACTATTTCATTAAGATCCATATTTGATCGGATAAATTTTATTGTAACGCATCATGTAGTAAACTCAACATGAATATATTACAATAATGTAATTTATTTATTTTAAATTAAAATCTGCTATATATATTAGTCATTTGAAATTTGATACATAGCCATCTCAAATATTACTGTTGTCATTCACAAACTAGTTAATTCCTTGTCTTTTGTAAAAAACATATTATGCCATAAGTTTCTTAATGCCACACCCAATTAATTACAAGGATAACTATACTATTTTTCTAAGAATTTTTTTAGTTGTGATAACATTTTTTGATTTATTAAAAAAACTCATCACTTTGTTAAATATCTTGAAATGCATCATATCAAGATTATGCCATATTATATTTATTTTTTTAATATGGTAAATATTAAGAAAATATTTTTTCCTAGTTTAATAATGGTCTTTCCCAAATCAAGAGATCCTTTGTTTGCCATTCTTTTTCCAAACATAATATGACTTAAATTAGATAATCTTGCATACATATCTTCATGGGATAAAGGTGTTTTGTCCCTTGGTTAATGTTTTTTCTATGGTGTTTTGGCAAGTGTATGCTGGTTCATTGGGCTCTAAGTTTGGGTTGTTCTGAGCTATTGATTTTCTTTTTTTTTTGCTTATTGGGTGTTGGATAATAGACTATTTTCTATTTTATGTTGCATTTGACTCCTTTGTTCTCTTGAGGTTGAGCTTAATTTCTACTTTATTTTGTCCCCTTGCCTCTTCTTGTCCTTTTGTCTATCAGATTCTGCATGTTTTGCTATGTGTTGTGAATGATCTTGTTATTGTTTCTTATGTTGATGTGGTGATTGTTGCTGACTTTGGTTTGCATTATATCTTGGATTGAGCCTTATTGGAATATATAGTGTATCTACTATGAGTTTTGAATGTTTTTGTGGTCTCTTCAGTTTTTGGCATGTCCTTAAAGTCCTTTATGATGACTCCTATTGCATATCCAAACTTGGGCTTAATTTTGAGTTTGACTTCCTGCCTGCCTTTTTTAAAAAAAATTATTGTGTATATAGTATGAGAATCTTTGCTCTATTGAATTTATTTATTTTTTCTATTGTAGCTTTGTGAGCGATAGTGAGCTGTGATTTCCTCTAATGACCTTGCAACCTTTCTTTTGATGATATAAAATTCACACCCATAAATGGGCTTTACAAAAAAAAAAAAAAAAATCCTTCACAGGATAAAGGTGGGGGGAAAAGGGTCTAGTTCAATAACTTATTTTTAAAATTTATTTCTGTAATTTAAATGAAAGATTTGTATGTTAGAATATGAAATAAAAATAAAAATAAAAAGAGTATTTGTCCGTTTATTCTAATCAAATTTATATTGAGTGCTTTATACAGTATAAATATAGTAATCTATTTTGTGTGCTCTATGCCTCTATCCAAACATCATTGCAAAGGCATGAACTACATAATGGTTACTCTCATTAAAGTATTTCACTTATTTATCCATCAAAGGTTGTAACAACCTCCTCCAATAAAGCCTTCAGCTCATCAATCAAATGTCTAAAAAATACAGTCTTGACTTTGGAAATGTGTTATTAGCAATGATAAAAAAAATAAATAGAAATTTTATATGCATCCAAGGTGTTTGCGATAGAGTATATAGAATAATATGAACTATACAAAAAAAAAAGATATTCTTGTATATATTATTTATCTAAAATGTTCATTCTAGATTTTAATCTCCACATTAAGTGGTTTTACTCAAATTGAAGGGTATGTATCATCAATGAGTTTATAATTAAGCTTCACAATCACTGGGATAAACCATTAAATATTTTTTGATGTAGATATTTTTAATATGTTTTGTGATATTATTTGCAATATTTCTAAACATGTAAAATTTTGAAGTTTAAGAGTTAGTAGATAATAATGGATCCTTTATTTGGATATCTAATAAACATATTTCTAAAGCATAGATCGTAGTGATTATGCTAACGGTTGTTATTTGAAGCTTATTAAGTGGTTTTTTTTTTTTTTTTTTTTTTGAACTTTTTTAGGTTTTTTTTTTTTTTTTTTTTTTTTTTTGATATTACCGTGGAATCCTCTATAATCCTAATTTGGATTTCATTTTCAGATATGAGGACAATTTTTTTCTCCAAGAATTTTACATGGTTTTGGTTCTATATTTAGGCGTCATTTGAAAATTGATAGTGTTACAACCAATGGTTTGAGGCTTTAAGTAGCTAGGGTTTTTGTTGAACCTAATTGTGTGTGGATTCATCATGAAAAATTTGGATATGTCCAAAAAAAATTTATGGAGGATTTCCCCCCTTTTAAAATTTTGTGAATATTGCAAAACTGTTAGTTACAGTAAAAAAAGAATGTTATATTTTTCATCCTCAATTAAGGAAAGAATCGGTTGAAAAACTACCCGTGGGGAATGATAATAATGAAAATGCAATTATATCCCTTATTTTAGATACGAACGTGATTGCTACCATTCCTTTGGATGAAAATATGGTTGCTAATGTGTCTCTCTCGAAATCTAATAATCCCCCTCCTTCTAGGGAAGTGAATGTGTGTATTAATGACCTTTCATTAAAGGTCGATAAACATAATAACTTGTATCCTCTTGAAAATCCTCTTTATGTACGTTAATCTTGTAATTGATCCCCTTGTATTTTGGGAGATATAATATCTTCTATATATGGTGTTGGTATTGCTAATTCTAATCCTGCTATTGAAAACTATATTCAAATGACTCATTTTATTAGTCAAGATCTATCTTTTGGTGGTGAGGATGTGCCCAATTCAATACTCATAATTATAATTCCTATTTCTTCTATCTCTAATGGCGAGCCTATTATCAATATGGAAGCACTACAGGAAAAATGTTGAAATCCGGCGGTTTTTTCCAGCGGTTACTCTATATTAACCAGCGGTTTTTTGGACTACCGGCGGCTTTACGGTGATTTTTTGGCCGCCAGAACAAATCGCGTAGGAAACTTGTACCGGCGGTTTTTTTTTTGCGGCGGTTTTCCGGTGGCCTAGACCGCCGGTTATAACCGGATTTTGAACCGGCGGTTTTCCAGCCGTGACGCCGCCGGTTATTTGACCGACGGCTTACCGGTGGTCAATTTACTGATGGTCCTCCGGCAGTTTAGTTGGGCATCGTTTGTTTTTTAAATCGCCGGCAAGCGCCGGTAGACCGACGGTTCATTTACCGGCGATAGCCGTCGGTAGTACCGACGATCTAAACCGCCGGATGTCTACCGTAACACCGCCGGTGGCCGTCGGTAACCGTCGGTAATAAACCGGCGGTGTAATGCCTTTACCGGCGGCTGATTATTGGCCGTTTGGTATCGTAGTTTCCGGTGGCCAAACCGCTGGTAAGCTGCCAGAAACCTGTAGCACCTGCAAAAAAAAATTGACAGCATCCCCTCTATTTGAGGGAGTTCACCCTAAAGGTCTAAACCTGCAGAAAAAGTAAGATATGTTGGGCAACACGCCGCTATATTCATCA